TTGTGAAATTGATACCTCTTTTGTACTCATACATAAAGAACTTAAAGGCTAAACAACCTCCTTGAAGTGACACCAAAATTTTTCCGATTTCATCCTTTTACTCCATCAAAATAAAGAGTAAAGAAAGAAAACAAGACAAGAATGAAGTAAAGAGACTAACCTTTGCCTCCTCATCCTTGATAGAGTGAAGACGGAAGCGGCCCTTTGTATCATACAACAGCCTGAAGTTTTCATTGGTCTTAGGAATTGATACAACATCTGCATAACAGATATAAGATAGAAAAAATAAGATTTACAAGAAGGGGATCTGCACAAGTGACGAGCGCCAACATAAAATTAAGGAAAATAATTAGATAATTCTTTTCTGAAAATTGCAAAGAAATTCTATTCAGTTGATACAATATGAAGGTCGACAGATGCATACCCATAAAACCAGCTGGATACTTCTGGTCTGTCCTGACCTTTCCATCAACCATAACATGCCTTTGCATTAGAATGGCAATTACCTCACGGTATGTGAGGGCATACTTCAACTTGTTCCTCAGAATAAGGATCAGTGGCAAACATTCCCTAGCCTTGTGGGGACCTGATGATGGTTTGGGGGCCTAATGTGCGAACACTTGATTAATAAAATCAGTGAGATAATGGAAATGTGTATCACATGTCAATTATAGTTATTGCACTTACAAAAGCACCCCCAAGTTTGTTGAGCATCCAGTGCTTTGGGGCATTTAGCCGCTTGAGATGCTTCTTAAGTCCTCTAGCCTGGAAAAAACCCAAAAAGAATGTTCATAAAATGCAAGAAGAACAATAGCATTATCATTACTGATTTACTGGTAAGATCTTTTTTGAGTTTTACATAGTTAATGCCTGTCAGATACTTAGATCAGCAAAATAATGCAAGTTTGATATTCATATACGTTTAGAAACCCAAAATATTTTATTTAAACAGGTGAGGTAAAATACATCTTCAAAAAAAGTCTAACTGACTATAATGTGTTTTGAGTAGCAGCACATGCTCAAGGGAAATCTAGCATTATTACTACAAAATACAAGTTTATTTCTCTAGCTAAACATAAGAAATAATAGCTAAATATAAGAAATAACACATAAAACAAGTATACAAGAGAGAAATGAAGACAAATGGCAGACCTAAGATCACTGTAGAGAATAAACATGGGTGGAAAAGAATTATCTGAATAATTGGACGCCAAAACAGTAAACGAGTCAAGAAAAAGTATGGAAATGTGTAAGAACAGTCAAATGTTTGTCCAATAAGACGATTCTTGTAGGTGTCAAAGTCAATGCCTAACATTCAAAAGAAACATCCACAGGCCAAGCTAGTAACAATAGGCATAAACAAAGGATGGTAAAAAAATGTCAGTGAAACAGATAGAGAGTAGAAGCTACAGAGAATGAGTTCAAGAAAAAGAAAAGGCAACGTTTTACAATCAAATGTAATTATAACCTAGATATTCAAAAACCATACGAAGTATTTTGTGTGGAGATTTATATATAATCAAGGGCCAAAAACAAATTGATCAAAAGCAATAACATCCAATAACCAAATTATAATAAGATACTTCAACTATGTCGAGAACGGCATCTATAGGACAAGTAATGAGATTGGTGATGCATTTAACAACAAGAAAATATTTCCTTTCAAACTAAGTGCAATAATGATCCACATATTTACAATTTAAAAAGTTTAGTGTACCCTAACAGGGCCAAAAAAACAGTTTGCGCACATTTTCATAACAGTATAGAATACATCTGCTACCAAATGGTGGCAATGCAGAGAGCACAACTAGCAATGTGAGATTACAATACCCACATTTCCATATACAAATCAATCTTGAAGTGGATAATAATCATCTACAATTATCAGGGAAAAGGAATTCATCACAGCACAAGATTGTAATCAAGGGCAGACGAGTCTAAGCAACATGGCAGGAATTCTAGATTCTCTTTTTTCTGAATTTCAAGATTAATCAGATGAATACTGAATAGATTAATCAGATTGGATTAATCAGATGAATACTTAATTTGCAGATTAATCAAATGAATTCTGCAACCATATATTGGGAGCTTGCTTTTGGATAAAAACCATTTATTGCAACTTTGTAGTAACTTTTTTGGCCAAAATCTAGGCAATCTTTATAAGCAAGTTAGGATTAAATCTATTATTTCATAATGACAAGAAGATTAATGTCGCAAAATTTAAACAATGCTCCAGAACTCGAATATATACAATCTAGCTTTCGCAGTAATATGTCCAATCACTGACCGAACCATGTTATATCATTTAGAGCTACAGGAAAACAGTAGAAAGAACACAAGGAAAGATTGGATAAATGAAAATGCTCCTTTCCATAAATCTTAATTATTCCAACATCGTGTGAAAGTAATTTTCTTCTAATTTGTTACGTGCATAAACACAAATCTCTAAACGCACATACCTACGTGTGTAATCTTCTAAAAAAGCATTAGTGGAACACATACTACCTTCAATTTCCCAGATCAGCAAAGACAACCATTAATGAGTCTCACAGTTCATCTTTTATATTAAATAGGTGAAAGATAACTAGACTCTAGATCCAGATAACTATTTAGCAAGATAAAATCGAGTGAAAGACTATAAACAAAGGTACAACACAGAATGACAAAGCTTTCCACCCTGACCTGACTTGTCACAACATGACAGTTCACTCAAAAAAAGGGGATAAAAACCAGAGAAGATGACAACAAAGCCTTTAATACAATCTTTGAAGTCGGCTATTGTCAACCAGATAAGACAGTTTCTTAAATTTACTGTTTGCAATAAAGAAAAAAGATAGGTTCAACAAACATGACAGTTCACTCAAAAAAAGGTGATAAAACCAGAGAAGATGACAACAAAGCCTTTAATACAAACTTTGAAATCAGCTAATGTCAACCAGATGAGACAGTTTCTTAAATTTACTGTTTGGGATAAAAAAAAAGACAGGTTCAGCAAGCAGAGACATCAAATACTGGATTGGCTTCGCATTATCAAATGTAATTAATATTTAACAGTAGGAACATGAAACTTCAAACAAGAGACTGGAAATTTATTCAAGACATAATCTCAAAAGTCGATTTTTTTGTGCCCGAGTTATATTACTATATGACAGTTTAGGCAATTCCTAAAGAAAGATAATAAATTATGTGAAAAGTCAGAAACAACAAATCATTCACCTCTACATCCATCCCAGAACTCTACACGGTACTATACTAGAGAAATTGTTTGACCCGCCGATTACAGAATTAATATATTTGAATCCAAGAAATTCTAGCTGAAACATAGCAGAATGCCCATTATTTTCATGCTAATGCAATGCGAACTCTCGTTCACATTTTATCCGCTGCAATATTCGCATGAGGCTCTACCGAGTTACGATATTGCAAAATGAACAGACAATCTGGACAACAGATCTAGCTCAAGGAATAATACGCCGCAAATAATAGAAAATCCATGCATCTAGCCGAAGATCATCCTAACCTCCACTGTTATAGGTTAAGAGTTTTGATTATTCTAAAGCAATCAAATATCATCATTAATCAAAAAAATTTATCTAATTGTAAATAGTTCCATAGGGTGATCTAACTAAACTGTTCCTCTAAAAACTTCATCTTTCACTTCAATCCAACTTACAAACTACAGTACAGATCAAAGTGATTGGACAAACCCTAAACCTGAAGGCACGAGATTAGAGAAAAATTCCAGAAATTATGAGAAAAACTACGATGCAAAGATTGAGAAAGGAAGCGAACCATCTTGTTCTTCTAGATCTCGGCCGTCACCGACTCCGTCGTCGAGCTCCCCCTCTTCACTAACAAAAGCACGCAAACGGCTGAGGACGAAACCCTAACTCAGAACGGCGAATATAAAGCATTGAGGTTTAGGGCTTCCATAGGAAATGTCGGAAATGGCCTCCGTTGGGCTTCAGTCTTTCAGATGATAGTTATGGGCTGGGCCAGGAGCCCAGCTTCAGAATAAAATTAAAAATGTGTACAGCTGAAAGAAAATGCTAAAATGGCTATTTGCACCCTTAAAAATGATGATTTTCGCTTTTTTTTTTTACTTTGATTTCTTGAAATTCTATTTTGACAACTTGAGACCTCCATGTTTAACTTGACGTTAATTTTTTTTTTCAAAAATATCATTATATAAAAATTAGTGGGAAATTTCTGGTTTTTAAGGTTTGAGAAGAGGAACGAAGTCACAGATTTGAGGTAATTGTTAACTTCAGAATGGGAGTTCACTAAATTGCACTAGATTTTGACTATGCGCACATGAAAAATAAACCTAGAAGAGTGATGGCAAGATGCGAGGAGAGATATCAGGGCCGGCTGAAGGCATAGGCCACTAAGGTATATGCCTAGGGCCCCCATTTTATTGGGGCCCCAAAAAATATATTTTCTCTCTCTCTCTCTCTCTCTCTCTCTCTCTCTAAGCTATGCAGTAAGTTGACTATTAGGGGTGGGCAAAAACCGAAAAAAACCGGTTCAACTGAAAAAACCGTCCGAAAAAGCGGGTCGGTTAACCGAACCGGATTAAATGGATAAGAAGAAGGCTCTAAACCGTCCGAACCGGATTAAACCGGTTTGGATCCGGTTTGAACCCCTGAACCGCCCGAAAAAACCGACCTGAATTCTCTAATATAAATAGTTAAAAACCCTAACCCCATAAAATAAGTTAACTGTAAGCTTTTTTGCTTCTTCGAACTTTCCAAGTGCAGAAAGACAATTAATGAGGATATTAAACACAACAATGTTATGGCCTACATTTTTATCTGTCATTACGTGCTCTATTTCAAAAGCCGCAGAGAAGTTTCCCTTTTTAAAAAGCATATCCATCATAGAGGCATAGTTTACACGATCGAGCATGGTACGCTTCTCTCTCATTTCCTTGAATAAGCTCTCAGTTTCCTCGAATTTTCCATTCTTCCTTAAACCATTTACCAAGACATCGACAACAATGTTATTAAGTTCAAGACCTTCGTTCCTCATTTCTTCATAGAGATCAAAAGCGGCCTCTTGGTTGCCCATTTTGAAGAAGCCATCAATAAGTGTGTGTATCTTTGCCAGCTCACATGTTTGAATAAGTAGCGACATTTGCCCTCAAAGACTGCTTCTCCATTTCTCGAAGTTTAGTTTATGGGGGTTTATGCTCTGTGTGTGTATCTTTGCCAGCTCACATGTTTGTAACCATAGCAATAGTAGCAACCAGAAAAGCTTACAGTTAACTTATTTTTCTGCTAATAATATCTTTTGCAAATTCCTTGTACCCTGGTAGTGGCATTTCTTATGATCCTAATCCATGTTTGATTTGTTTTTGTGAAATGGAGTTAATTCGGCCCAAAACCGAAACCGATCCGGCCCGATCCGAATTTCTGTTGGGCCGAATATTCGGATGAAGGGGAAAAAATCTGGATCTGGATGAGAGTTTTGAGAATCTAAAAAATTCGGATTGGATGCGGATTGAGCTTAAAACCGACCCGATCCGAATATGCCCAGCCCTATTGACTATTGTAAGGATTCTAAATTATCAATTATCTTTAATTGATCATTTATTGCTATAATTATATATAATTATCTTTATATTTGGAAAAGAACACTAATAAAGTTTAATTGTAACTTTTTATATTTTATTTCTATAATTAATTAGATTGTAACAGTTAAAAAAATAGAAAAGCACATATTAAATACTCATTCTTATTTATGCATAGTTTATGCGTTTTTTCTCTTGCTAACTTCCTTTATTTTCTTCTCATTCACTCATCTTTCATATTTGTTTAATCTTTGATACTCAACATACACAATTGCAATTCTAATCCAGAAGGCCCCAAAATAAAACATAAGCTTGTTGGTTTTTATTTATTTTAATTAATTTACATTCATTCTCCTCACACACACACACATAGCTCACGGATATGTTCTGTATTTTGTTTTTTATTTTTTCTTTTATATCTTTTTATTAATAAAATCTTATTTACGTTCAACAATGTCTCAAGAGATTAAATAATTTGACAATTTTATAAATTGAATATTAAAGCTTGAATATAAAATTTAATTAGTAACTTTGCATCTCAAAAATCTAGAAAATTAAATTTTGTATAAAATTTATTTTTAAAAACTAATATTTAAAATTTTTTAATGTAAGGCCCTAAATATTTTTCTCTGCCTAGAACCTCAAAAATGCTTGAGACGGCCCTGAGAGATATTATGAGTGAATGATTCATTGTACCGTCATAAAGCCAACGAATGACTCATTGAAGAAAATTGATCATTGACACAATTGTTTTGGGAGGAGGCATGCGGTAGAAGGGTCATCCATGGTATCTTAGAAGAGGGACACAAATCATGTGAAATCGATATTGAAAGAACAGACAGCTTACTATTGAATTTATCTTAATAACAAGCAAGAATTTGGTGCAGACATCCCCTATCGCGGAGCTGGTGGTGTAAGGTGTTTGCACAAGTAAATTTATATGGATTGGCCAAATATGCATACACCAAACTGTTATTATATGTCTACTCTATAGCCAAACCTTTTGAGTTTAACCTTCTCGGAGCTTGCCACATCATCTCTTCTCTTCTTAAAACTTTTTGCCACTTATACCTAATGTAAATCATCCATCTTAATCTTAATTAACTAATATCTTATAGAATATTTAATTACAAAAAAATTAATTTTAAAATACCTTACTGAATATATCTTAATTATGATCTAATCAAATAATATATTATCACAATTCAAAATCAAAAATATTTAAGGAAATGTTTAATTATGGAAAAAATTTTACCAAATATATCTTATTCTAAATTAATATCCTATCATTTAATATATATTATCAAAATTTGTCTCATTTAAATTAATATTTTATCACTTAATATATATTATCAAAATTCAAAAAACTTTACCATTATTTTGTGAATCATAATTGTTCATTTAAAACTAAATTATACATATCACATCTTTGTTAATCTTGCAATTTATGAATAAGCTATGGGATTTTATACTATTGTGTGTGATTCTTACACAAATCTGTTGTATGATCGAAAAATTGAAGTTTGATTGATTTCTTGTTTTAAGAAATGGATTCGATCACTTAGTACGAAACTCTTACAATCACTCACACACTCTCTCGATTACAGAAGAAGAGAAGATTGATTTGACTTCTCTCTTTGTTTAAAAGTGAGTTCTTAGTGGCGAAAGGATGCTTCTCTCGATGCTCAAGCCGAGATTGCTTCCCGTTGACGATCAGAACAAGATCACACAAGCTTTTGACGGTCGGTCGATGATCTCCTTTTGCGTAGTAGCGAAAGATCAAGGCTCCAAAGTCCAAAAGTCTCTCTGAGAATCTCCTCCCGCCTTCATAGCCACTCATGGCTATTTATAGGGTTTCAGCATGTAACCAACGTGCTAAAATTGTGGGTAGAGGGCGCAACTGCCTCCTTTAATTCAGCCTATGTCGGTTAATGGGGCGAAACGTGCTCCTGAAGTTTAGCGCATGTTACTGACTAGGTCTTCAAACCGTTACAGCTATATCTCCTGCGGACAACGAGCCTTGCTGCATGGCGAGGTTCATCAGATTGAACGAGCCTCAACATGCAGCGAGGTTCATCTTCTAAGGTCAACTTTGTAGTATAGCGAACTGTCTTCACTGACATCATCTGACGAGCTTCGTATTCACCAACGAACTTCGCCTTTGATAGTTGAGTCCAACTGTATAGCAAGTCTTGTGACTTTCCTTTTGACGAGCCTCGTTTAAGCTTTAAATCTGGTGATGAGTTCCGAACCTCGTATCCAACGACGAACTCCGAACATCGTATCCAACAACGAACCTTGAACTTTGTTTCCAATGACGAACCTTGAACCTCGTATCCAACGACGAACCCCGAACTTTGTTTCAAATGGCGAATCCCGAACCTCGTATGCAATGACGAACCCCGAACCTCGTATGTAACGACGAACTTCGAACTTCGTATCCAACGATGAATTTCGAACCTAGTTTCTAATAGGGATCCTCGCTAGGCGGCGGTCTCATCTTTGACCAAGACGAAGTTCGTCCCTATGACGACCGTCGCCGGCAGTACAGGTGCTCGCTTCTCACTCCCGCAACAAGATCCTCAACCCTGGACAAAACTCGCTTATTACAAGTGGTATTACATGGCAAATGTGGTGATCCCAAGCTTCAACATCAACTCGTCAGGACTACGCTTCATTCGGTGTCGTTACAGATCCGAGAACACTTCTAATAGAAGTCGCATACCATGACTCAAAGAGTTCTTATACGCCAAGGAAAATGTTGGCATGGAAGAATCTCGACCTTCTAGTCCTCATGAGACCCAGGAAGAGGTGGACATGGCTCTGGACGAGCGTACGCTTCCCAGATCTCCTCGTGTTGATGAATACGGGAGTAATATACCCGTCGCTGCTGGGGAGGATGAGGCTGTTAGGGTTGAAGCTACTTTTGGGGAATTCGGGGATCCCACTCATGCTGATGAGCCATTTGAGCATTTTCAGCATGAGGCTCCTGAGAGTAGACTTTCACCTCAGTAATCCATTAAAGTTATGCCTGGGGGATCCAAGCCTGCTATGGGACTTACCGGTATGCTAGTCTTAGCTTGTCATAAGCTTTGAATTGTCACTCTATTTATGTTTAACCTCTGACACTCATTCTACAGAACGAGCAGAAGGAACTGAAGCTTCAAGGCAAATGGGGGAGAAGTCCAAGAGACCTGGATTGATGAAAAGAGTTAAACGCGTCGCTAAAAGGCCAAGGCGAGAAGCTCCAAAGATGATCTCTCCTCTGTTTGTGTCGAAAATTAATGTATTCATTGCGGTATTCATTACAACTTTAGTCGTTACAATGAAAACAAAAATATTGTCTTTTTATAAGACTTTTAC